TCAGCACACCTTTTGGTCAGCACACCTTTCTCCTGATATCCATCTTGCCACAGGACAGTCTCAGGTCTGGTTCCCACCAGGGATTTGGAAGCCTGGCTGCAGATGTTAACAGATGTTTTCCTACTTTCCCCAGAGAGCGGGTGCCACTTGCACATCCATAATCCTCTAGGAGCTGATCCCTGTAACAAGATGACACAAGGATTTAATCTCACAGCTTCCAGGGGAGCTGCTTCACACAGAGAATTATTCCAGGCAACTCAAGATCACTGTCATTCCAGGGAGAAGGCTGGTGCTGGGATGACACTTACAGGCAGTGCTCAGTTAAACCAGGATTACAGTCTGCTGCTGCTGAAAGGGGGATGTATTGGAGAGCCAGCGTGCCTCACCCCTGCTCCCTGCTCTGCTGGGTGTTGGCATTCCTAGGACCTGCAAAGAGATGTCTGGCCAGGTGTGACTCCCAACAACTCCCTCTTCTGTAGCCCTTTGGGGCGGTTCATGATTTACAGAAGAGCACTCAGGAGCAGCAGCTCCAAATGACAGCACGATGTGGGACAGGGAGAGTGATCACTGCAGAGGCACTGCCAGGGTGAGGTGCTCCTCGTGGGATGGACACAGGAGTGACAGGGCACCTCTGTGCCCTCCAGCCCTTCTGGAGCCCGGCAGCTCGCTCCAGAGGGATGGATGTCGGCTGGTGAGGGCTGCACAGACATCCCGAGCTGCTCTCACAGAGCAAAGAGCACCATGTGTTAGAGCAGTGTCCTGCAAGGGCTCAGGAGGATTCCCTGCTTCTTCTGCCAGTGCAGCCTTCTGAGATGTGGGTAAGTAGGTTCTGATGGATGAGAAGCACTATCACAGCACAGATATTTCCCCTTTGAGCCGGTCTGACTGATTTTCCTGCAATGACAAAATAAGTGCCATGGCTGACAATGGTTCAGCTGCACTGGGAGGTAGTGTAGAGGTTAAATCCAATTCTGTTTATTCCATATCCTGGTCACTTGCAATTCTGGATGGAGTCCTGCTACTTGGCAATCACTTTAACATCATCAATGAACCTCTAAAACCATCTGAGGCTACAAGATTAGACACTACCACCCTGACAAGTTTATTTCATGCAGCTGAAAGGAAGAAAACCAGTCTAAGGACATAATTTGCAAGTTATCTTAAAAAAAAAAAAAAAAAAAAAAAAAGAAAAAGAAAAAAAAAAGAAAGAAAAAAAGAAGGCTTGAATTATTTGTCAGTTTCCTTCAGGTTGCACTTCAGCAGGCCAGCCAGGACAGACAGCATGAATAGGCACTGAAGCAGTGGGAGGCAAAGTCATAATCGGCTTTTGTGTTCTTTGATTATTGTTATCCAAACTAAACAAAGATTTGTGGTTTACTGCTGTCCTTCCTTTCCCTGTTTTCTTTAGATTAACTGCTGCACTGCAACATTGTGTGTATTAGCAATATTGTAGAACCTGCTCAAGAGATAATCTCTGCACCCCAGCTTAATGACTGCAGCAACCTCATTTAAAAGGAATCTGCTGCTTATCACAGACTTAAATTACAAGCCTTTTGCAGCAGTAACACTGGCTTTTAATGCTTGCAAAAAGCCATAAATGTTTTAGAGGGTTATAGAAATAACAGGCTAATGTAATGTGCTAACTAGGAATGTGCAAAGACTTGTCCAAGTATATCTGAAGCTCCTGCTTGCTCTACACCACTGGTCTTCACTTAGCAATAGGACACATTTGCAGCCTTGGGACCACTCGTGATAGATGAGGCATTGCAGCTTTACTGCACTGCTGGTTGAGGTTATCTAGAAATAGTCACTGGAAGAATGATTAAATCTTGCAATTACCCTGTGCTCTCTTGTCTGACATCCAAGCTCAAACATCCTCTGATGGAGAGGTGATTGCTCCTTGAATTTATATCTCTGCTAGTAGCCTGGCTTTTTGGTTTTGAGATGTCAGAGGTGGGCTCATGGAGCACAGATGTCTTACCAGCTCCATTTTATTTCCTTCCTTACTGGACCCTGGTCTTTTCCAGAAGGTGTATTACTTCTGCAGCAAATCCTTGGGAATGTAGTTTGCCTCATTTTGTACACATTTCATTTCTCTCACAGCAACACTTATTTCTTCCTGCAAATCCAGCCTGCCTAAATCTGACGACTGAGCCAGCTTCCACTCCTTTGCTTATTTCTCCTCTGCACAATTTCTTGCAAATTTCCCCCTATTCTGAGAGCTAAAAATACATCTGGGTGCTGCCTGGAGGTCATCTGAGAGCACAAAGAAAGGGGCAGCCCGAGCTTCGTATGCATTGCTAAGCAGTGCATGAAGAGCCTTCCCCACAAACAGGGCTGCTCCTCTATCAGGCATCCATAAATACAAAAATCTGCCATTCCCAGAAGCAATTGCATACAGAAACACTTCTATTTAGCCAGCACAGACTCTTCTACAGAAAGTGCAATTGCTGCTGAGAGCTCCAACTTGTAATGACACCGAACAGGTGTAAATGGGAAGAAAACTCAGCAGGGAGAAAAGCCACACCAACTCCCACCCCTGCAACCTGCAGAGCCTTCTCCTCCAGGAGTGTGTTTGTGTCAGGAATGAAACACAAGCTCCATCGGAGGGGAAACCAAATACTTTCTGCATTTTTTACTGTCTGAACTTCCTCTCGATTTCTCAAAGCCGTGTTCTTCTACCAAAGCTCTCGGGAGCGCTGGCTTTCACAGCCACCACTGCCAAGGGGGAGATGAAACCAAGATCCTTCCTTGTTAACCATGTGGGACTCTTTGTCCTACATACATGGAAAACATTACTTACTAGGTAAAATCTAAGCCCCACAAACTAGTTCAGATCCCCAAAAGATGACTGTTCAGATAAAATGTTTATTATAGAAGGGCTGGTAAAGTCCCCTTGCTCTCATTTATTACTGCTGTGTTCAGAACAAACCACATGATGTCATTGAAGAACAGAGTTGCGAAATCCCACATTCCAGACCAGGACCCAGGAATGATTCCCAAATTAGGCAAATGACATGGGAAATATCAGTAAAGATCTGAGGAGAAAAAAAAAATAAACCTACAAAAAAAAGCGCCAAACCAAAACAAGAAATCCTGAAGCCACTTGAAACAAATTATGCTCTCCAAACTGTTGTGTTAATGGCTCTTCACCTCCGATATATTCACTCAAACTGTGGGAGGTGGTTCTTGTTTTGGAAGTCCTTTACACATCTTCCCTCCTCCTATGGGGAAGCACTGCTCTGCCAGGATGAATGCCAGAGGGATCTGCCAGAGGGCGGGCAGCAGCTGGCAAACAGAACAGGCAGGGCCAGCAACAGGGTCAGTGTTTACAAATGATAACTCATGTGAGCAGCGCTCACACCAGTGTTTGGGAAATAGCCTGCACCACCAATCTGACCTCCAGCCCAGATGGAATTTTTACTGATTTATTTATTTTATTTTTTTCTGAACAGAAATAAACCAAGGCCCCATGTTGGAAACTGGGAAACTGCACAAAAGTCAGCAATGAAATAAACTCGGAACAATGCCCAATTCAGACGGTCTAGGGGGCCTTCTGCACAGTGTCCATGTCAAAATTTCCTCATCCCAAAGAATTTCCTGCAAAACACACAGGATGCTTTTATTACCAAGTGGGTGGCATTTGATAGAGCATCCCAATTGGCCAGGGAGGCCAATGAACCAGGCATTATTCCACTGCCACCTCTCTGGAGGGACACTGCCCGCAGGAATACACCTCTCTCATCTCCTGCAAGGCTTAGTCACACATATAATATCGATCATACCCTGCCCTGCCAGCCGTGAAGTGCAGAGATTAATAGGACAGAAATCAGCTCTTTCATCTTTCCCCTTTGTTTCACATCATTTCAGTGCCAACCTGCCCTTCTCCCCACATACAACTATTTAGCAGCGATGAAGCTCTTGCTAATACTGAACACTGAAAGCAAAAGTTGTTTTTTTGGCAGTATTGTGGCACAGGCACTTTGCTCCCTCATTTACTCCTTGCCTCGAACACTGTGTGCAGTTTTGGGTGCTACAACATAAGAAGGATATAAAGCCATTAGAGAGTGTTCAAAGGAGGGTTATGAAGATGGTGGAGGATCTAGAGAAGGGTGGCTGGTCACTGGAACAGGGCGGTGGTCACAGCACCGAGCCTGACAGAATACCAGCAGCATTTGGACAATGCTCTCGGGCACCGGGTGGGATTTTGGGGGCTGTCCTCTGCAGGGCCAGGAGTTGGGTAATCCTTGTGATTCCCTTCCAGCCCAGGTAGTTCTATGATTCCTATAATTCTATGATTTATGCTCCCTGACTGGCTTGGCTGATGGCACCACTCATGCTCAGTGCCCCAGGATGGTTTGCAGAACCATGGCTGAGATTTTCTCACATCTTACATTTTTAAAGATGTGAAAGATCTGTAAATACATTACCCTGGAAGCAGAGCCCTGGTGATCAGCAAAAAGGCAAAAAGACATAAATCTGATGTAGGAATTGTTGATGTAGCAGCTGAGCCATGCTGACCCAGCAGCTCAGGAGGTCTGTGCCCTGTTTGGTGGCAGCATGAACCCTGTGATTGTTTTGCAGCTGGGCTGATGTTGTGTGTTGTAATTAAAAGTGGCCACAGAATCAGAGAATTTTGAGAAGGCAACCCACTATGATCATCGAAGTCCAACTCCTGGTTCTGCACAGGAGATGCCAACTGTTCCACCCTGTGCCTGAGACTGTTGTCCAAGTGCTGCTTGAGCTCTGTCAGGCTCGGTGCTGTGATCACTGCCCGGAGAAGCCTGTTCCCCCACCCTCTGGGTGAAGAACCTTTTCCCAATATCCATCCCAAGCCTCCCCGACCCAGGTCCAGGTTCCCTCGGGTGAGCAGAGATCGGAGCTGTCCCTCCCGAGAAGCTGCAGCTCTGCCCTCACTCTCCTCTGCTCCAGGCTGAACAACCAAGTGCCCCTCCAGACCCTTCCCCACCATCGCATTCCCCTGGATCCTCTCTAATAAGAACTGTTCGTGCTGAGCGAGGGAGCAGCGCCGGCCCCGGCAGCAGCGGGGCCCGAGGCAGCGGCGAGGCCGCGGGAGGCTCCGGGAGCGGAGGCTGCGAACGGCAGCCGCCCGCCCGCCGCGCCGGGCCCCGGCAACCACAGCGGGGCCCGGCTGAGCCCCGTGCCCGCGATGCTCCGCGACCTCTCCGCGCTCAAAGCCGCCGTCATCGGGGCCTGTGCGCTCACGGCCGCGCTCATCGCCTGCCTCCTGCTCCGCGTCTTCAGGTGGGCACCGCCCGCGATCGGGGGCACCCGCCGAGGGGCCGGAGGGGGGAAGGCCCTCCTGTTTTATTTTTTAATTATTTATAAATATTATACGTATCTTACAGATAATGATATATTATATAACTTGCTAGTGATGTGTTCAAAGCCCGAGTAAAGCAAGGCGTGTGTGGCTGGCCCCTGGGGAGCGTGCGGGGCCGCCGGCCTGGCAAGCTCTCGCCTTCCTCCGCTCCTGCAGGAAATCAGGGCAGGAGCTGGGCTCCAAGTGAGGTTTTCCAGCGGGGGTACACCCGCTGCGTGGGGCCACGGCGGGCCCTGGCGTGGGCACGGAGCGAAACGAGTGAGACTCGGCTGGAACATGTGGGAATACGCGGGGCTGTTGGCGGAGGTGGTGGTGGGCCACTGGCGTGGGTGCCCGAGGAGCCGTGGGGTGCCTCGCCATGGGAACGCACAAAGCCGGAGCTCTCCCAGCCGGAGATGAGGCCCAGATGGCGAAGTGTCACGGCTCGGTGTCCGGCTGCTGGGCAGGGGCCGCCGGAAAGAGACGGGAACAGCTGGCGCCCGGCGGCGGCAGGAGGCGAAGCCATGGCTCAGGTGACAGGAGCAGTTAAACAGGTGGAGTTGGCAAATTCTTCCTTGTTCTGTCTTCAGGCAGCTCCTTTGTGCATGGCTGAAAGCCTGCTTCTCCTACTTTGAACTAATTCCGTGGAGGAAGGGCAGCGTTCACGATGGTAGTATTCCAGAGTGTGGTCTATAAACCAAAATGATCAGGGCTGATACTTTCTGAAGAAATTGACATTTCACTGTATTCTACTTAAGTGTGTGCAGCAGCTGGCAAAGGCAATGCAAATAAACGTGCTCATAAAGTGATGTGGTTTGGGAGAGCCCAATAAAATGTTGAAGAGGTGTTTGGTTTTTTAAAAAATCAGTATGTCTGCAGATGTACGGAGTTGTCACATACGAACAGCAGAATTGGTAGAGGTTATATGAGATAGAATTAGGAAGTTTATAACTAAGGCTTTTCATCCTGCACTAAGTTTCTACTCCTGGTTCTGTGTGATCTTGGAGAGTTTATTTTCTTTGCCACAGTTTCTTCTGAGTATAAAGCAGCATCTTGTGTCAAGGAGACCTGGCTGAATATTGGTAACCAAAGAAAGCAAACTGATAACTTTTAAAGGCCTTCCCTATACCATTATCAGCAAAAGCAGGTCCAAGTTAAAGTCACCTTGGGAAAGATGGATTTACTCTCCCATGCCAAAGTCGTCATTATACAGCTGATCAGAGTTAATGCAGCATTAAAGATATGTTAAACACCCTCTGAGATGTCGTGTGTATCTTTGGTAGAACCTGCTGGGGAAGTGGAAAATGCAGCTATTGGCTTCTGAGTATGTTTCTTTATCTGACAGAGCACTTGTTTGTAAACAGTTATCCCAGTTGCAAACGAGACAAGAATACCAACAGGTATGTTTGTACAGTGTCACACTTGTAGCTGACAACACAGATCAGTGGAGATTCTGTTGCAGGAGAGATAAGGGATTTACCCTCAATAAATGTAAAGCTTTTCTCGATCAGAATACAAGCTTTGTTCACACTTAGTCAAAAACATTGTGATTTTTTTTTCTGAAGAGTCATGGATTCCTAGTAAAGAGATTTTCCTGAAATCCAATCTTTGATTAAACTTTCACTGTGAAATTATTCTGTGTTGCTGGAAGTAAATTATCCTTTTATATGAGTTGTAGAGATGAAATAAACCAGTGATTGGCCAGATACTTGTCACAGGCATTGGATTAATATTTTATGCATTTTATTTTTTATATACATCTCATTTTTACATATTTTTCTATTGGTATTCCTTTTTTTTTTTTTTTTTTTTTTTTTTTTTTTTTTTTTTTTTTTTTTTTTTTTTTTTAGTAGGAATGGATATATTTCTCCTGCTTTCAGCTCAGTTCTTAAGGCTACACTCAGATTCCTCTTTATTGCTTTTGGAAATGTTATGCTCTGAATTCATCTGATGGTTGTGTGGTTCAGAATGTGGTATCACCCAAAGTTGTCTGAATTTCCTTTCTCTCTGTGGCTGCTGGGGTCTGTGAAGGCCAGCCCAGACTTTGCTATTTGTCTGCATGTGGCAAGGTCTAATTTGCTATAGTATTTATTTATTTATTCTTTTTTGCAAGCTCAGTCCTGGGTTTGCTTTCTTTCCTACACCCGTGGGCTCTGCATGCTCCCAACCCAAAACCATTTCCACAACAAACCAAATTCCATGTTATTCTCAAGCAAATAGTTGGGTAGTTTGCATTACGAAGAAACACAGTGTCTTGCCACAGACTGTGTGTGGCTAAACTCACTCTTTGATCTGTGTTTTGGATTTTTTGTTTTTACCTCCATGTTCTGCCCTGTTTCTCTCCCCTGGTGCAGCTCGGTTCTTTCCATTGCAGTGCAATTTTTGGGATCAGCTCACAGGAAACACAGTTTTTCAGATGTGGCCAGCTGTGCTGGTGGATGGTGTGCCTTCTAGGGAAATCTGATAAATTACTTTTGCTCCAGCTGAGAGCGACCCAAAGCTTTAGTTGCAGAGAACTCTGCTCTGTAAGTGTTTGCATCATGTCTTGACCTGCCCTTGAACAAACAGAATCCAGGCTGGAAAGGCTGCTGTATATCTATATTCTTACAGAAAAGCTACCTGCTTATTTTTCATCTTTTTGCTTTGTTAATTTTCTTCTTGTTCAGTTTTGATTTATTCTTTAAAAGCCACTTTAAGCTTAGTTTTCCAGTATTAGCAAAACTGGTATAAATGAGTTTGACGAGAGAGGTTCAAGCACATGATCATAAGATACAAGACCCTTTGTTCTATGAGCTGGACAGTTGCTCCAGGCCATCCAAGGCTTAACCCCAGAGAGTTTTACTGATTTAAAATTAATTGTATTATAACCAGTTACAGTACTCCAGCAAAGACAGGGCTGCATGTTCCGGCCAGCAACAGAAAAGAAAAACTGATTAAATTCTGTTAAGTGGAGAAGGAAAAAACCCCAAAATCAGCCAAATATCCAACCTCAAAACATATATATCTGTGACCCATGTTGAAAGCCACGGGCAGGCATCAGCATTGATCATGGAATCACGGAATCACAGTTGGGGTTGGAAGGGACCTCATAGATCACCTCATTTCAACTCCCCTGCATGGACAGGGACACTTTCCACTGTCCCAGGTTGTGCCAGGGCCTCACCACCACCCTCACTGTAAAGAATTTATTCCTAGTATCTGTTTTAAACCTGCTGTCTTTTAATTGGAAACCATTCCTCCTTGGCCTGTTGCTACATGTCCCGTCTCCAGAAAACACGTGAGGACTTGGCTTAGTGCTTCAGCTTTGTTGTATACAGCACCATCCAGAGAGCAGAGATACCCAGAGAGATCAACAAGAAGGGAATATTGCTGATCTAATTAATCAGCTAGTAGGAAACCTGTAGTTTCCTGAGGTTTTTAGTTCCATTTTTTTTTTTTAACTGCTAAGGGAGTCCATTAACAGGAAGTAAACTGGTCCTGATTCCATTCTGCATGTAACATTGCTGCAGTTCTAGGAGAGACTGGCTTAATCAGACTTCCAGTAAGCACTCTACTTAGAAGGGATAAGGCATTTTTTTTAGTTGTTTGGTTTTTTGGGTTGTTTTTTTTTTGTTTTTTTTTTTTTTTACTTTCCAGGGGATGTTTCCCTCCCTCTACATCTCTTAGCAGGAGGTAAAAAACGCAGAGACCTCTCTCTCTCTGGGTCAGGAAAAGAATCATCTTTGAATGTCAGGGTTGTGGACTAAAATAGATTAGAGGCGTAAATAATACAATGAAGCAGTGAGTTGATTCGAGCACTTACCCTACCACATGATGCCTCAGAAAGGAGGATGAAGTGCTGCATATGACTGGTGCTTGATCAAAATAGCCTCTGGTCAAAGTACAGCCACAAAGGCAGCGTTCTGCTCTCTGTGTGTCCTTCCCTGCTGCCTGGAGAGGGATGTGGGGTGGAGCAGGCAGACCCTGGTGTGGTGTGTGGTGCCTCAGCACTGGGTCTGCAGTGAAAGGTTCATATCTCTGCCCCCAGTTAGCCTGGGTTTTCTTTCCTTCTCATAATTCTGGGCAAGACCTGTAGCATTTCTTCCTAATTACAGGGGGTGGCTGAATCAGCAGAAGCAACAGGATTTTTTAAGGTGGAAGATGGTTTTCTGTGCTAAACTACTCAGAACCACTTCTACCCTGGGGAGTGCATTGTCACTGTGCACACTCTGACCACAGCTTCCAGCATGCTGCTTGTTTGCTTTTAAAAAACCCCCACAAAATGAATGTGGCTGGAAAGGAGATGCTCTGTTTGCCCATGAGGTCTAATGTGCCCTGATCCTGTCCAGGAGGTCTCAAAGTTCATGAAACATTTGTATTCTGTAGTTCCTGCCCTGTGCTGCTCTGCTGACTCTGCTGCCTGGTCCCACCTGCTGAATAAAGTGCTTTTCCTTTTTGTGCTGTCATTGCTGATGGTTACAGGGATCCCACTGAGGTTCCGGAGTTTTAATGTGAAACAGTTTCCTGACAGGCATGTAGGGAAACTCCCAAGGCTTTCCTGCAAAGTTAGCTCAAGTAATTCTTCTGTTATTTATGGAGCCTGGGGGAGTTATGCAAATGGGCAAACGTGAAAACGGACTGCTGGAAAGCAGATTAATGGCAAATTAGCTAGATAATCTGGGGTGGAATGGATTGAGAAAGGGGTGGGAGGGAAAGACCTTTTTGTCTTATCAATGGCAAACAACTGGTTGTAACAGCTTAGCCAAAAACCAGCAGCAAAATGAGCTTCCTCCCTATCCTAGATGAGTACCATCATTAAGTGAGGTTGTGGGGATTATTAGATCACTGTACAGTGAGTTCTGCTCCAGGTCCTCTTAAAAATGCAGCCCAAATAGACTAATTAATGGCTGGAGGCAAAAGGATTCTAGTTTCCCATTTCTAAAAATATCTGTTCTGCAGTAATTTCTTCAACCACTCCATTATTAACAGTTTTAAGATGAGCTCTGTGGAACAAGTTACATTTTCTAATGGAGGGAATGAGGGAGGAGGGGTCTTAGTAAAGTGGGCCTGATACTTGGGTAGGATCTTAAATGGAACCCATGGAAACCTCCTGTAGCCTGTATGTGAGTGCAAAGTGGTAAGTGAGGCTGTGCTTGGTTAGTTCTGACGGGTTAGTCTTGGTCTATGTTTAGGCTTCCCAGCATGAGTCAATATTTCATGTAAAAACAATGTTGTACTTGCAAGAGGAGACCTCCCTCCATCACTTTGCTACTAGTTCTTAGCAGGCAAGCAGAGTAACTGAGAAGTGGTTTCAAAAGGATTTTCAAGTGTTTGGGTTAAGAGTCCTACTGTACTGGATATAAAATTGCTTGTTTCAACAACAGCAGTAAAAGAACAAACCACCCCGTGCTCTGCGTGACACAGCAGCACAGATAGCTCTAAAGATTAGACCAGGAGGTGACTTTCTCCTCACTCCTGATGCAACCTCAGCCTTTAGAACAGGGAAGAGATGCAAACTGCTTCATCCCAAGGGCTGGGACCTGTTTGTTCAGCCTTGGACTACTGCCCAAAAGCAGTGCTTGGCAAAGATACTGAGATTTCCACATCAGAGCTGGTCACTGATTTAAGTTTCCTTAACTTTAAGCTTAGAAGGGATCCCTGTGGCGGAGATGCACACTCAGGGCTGGAGTCCAGTGTCTCTGCAGTGCTCATACCCCAGTTCCTGTTGCTTTGTAACTGTTTTAAAGACTTCTTGAGGCAAAAGCTGTGCTTTTGGATCCAGCACACCTCGCATGATGTGCCAGGGCAAGGCTTCTTGGTGGTAAAAGTGCACTTGGGATGTGCTCAGAGCACTAGCTGTGATTACAAAAAATCTGCTGGGCTGCTTGCTTGTGCCTGCACCAGCTCCCTTGTCATGCTTGGCAGGTAGCAGTTTTGTTTGCTAAAAGGTGTAGGGGAAAGTTCTGCATTTTGTTAACCAAAATCATCCACTTTTCTGCCCGAAGGCTGGCCGAGTACACATCAACACGTTCTTGAATGTATAATCACAAAAATGCATTCATGCATGAGCAGTGTGACCTTCCTAGTATGTATGAAAACAGTAGGTGAAGTAAAAAAAAAAAAGAACCCACACAATTCAAGCTAGAGGCAGAGAATAAGTTGAAAAGCCACACACAAAGTGTTTATTAATTGAAAGTGTTAGAAAATAGATCTGTCAAAACCGTGGGATGTGCAGGTGTGTGAGCATCTCCATTTACAGAGGAAGGTAAGGCTGGCATCTGTGGGAGGAGAGGTGGTAGGTACAGTTAGCTTTGAACAGTGGTTGATTATTTTTCATAGCACCTGCACAGATGGAGCCTGAAACTGCTTCAGGTGAGAGTCAAGGTTGTTGCTGTGAGTCCTGAGCTTGGCCTGACTGTAAGGAAAGCGACCAGGCAATTTTGTACCCAGACAGCATCACCTCCTTGCTCCTAATCCTGCCTAGAACATTCCTATGGCTCAGCAGGGCTTAACCTGTGCTTTCTCATCTGAACATGTTCACTAAACCAGTGGCTGCTTCAGCTGATTAAGCCCTTGTCTCACTTATTGAGTGTGGCAGCAGGAGCACGTGGTGGTTGCGGTGTTCGTGTGCCGTCCCTGGGTGCCAGAGCATCTCTGGTTTGTCAGCAGTGGAAAGACTGTCATTGATCTGGATTGCAGCTGACGAGGAACTGCTCCACACACAGGCACCAAGAGTGGCCTTGGGAAGGCAGCAGGAGGGAACAGAGGCTGGTTCTGCAGTGTTCCTGTTAGGGAGTCTGAATCCAACAGAGTCAGAGCTGGTGGGAGCAGCTTCAGCCTCTCCAAGGAATGCATGTAACCCCTCCAAGGAATGTATAAAGGCAGTCTTTCCCACCTCTGTGTTTCAGGTCTGGCAAGAGGATTAAGAAGACCAGGAAGTACGACATCATCACCACCCCGGCCGAGCGGGTAGAAATGGCTCCTCTGAATGAAGAAGACGACGAGGACGAAGACTCAACAGTGTTTGATGTGAAATACAGGTACTGCTGCCATCCGTCCAGTTAGACTTGCTCACTGAGTTCTTGTTAGTGAAAACAGCTCTTTTATTTCTCTGCTGGGCTAACTTGGCAGGGATGAGGCAGTCGCAGTCTCCCTCTTTACCCAAGCATTATCCCTTTCCTTTACACTCCTTGGCCTATTCCCAGCACACACGGCTCTGTCCTCCCCTGCTCCTGCAATAGCCCTGTCACTACCCCAGGCTGTCTGCACTCCTGTTTCCCCTGCAGAGCAGCACAACGGGATACACGTGTCCCAAAGAGCTGACAGCGTTTGACAGACTGAACTTCCCCTCTCGGGCAGCTGCTGGCAGTTCCTGTGTGCTCACACTGGATGGAGGGCTGTGGATCAAGGGTTGTGGATCCAGGGCTTCTTTCCCAGGCTGTGAGCCTGGGAGGAAAATCAGAATGAATCTCCACAGGATTTGTACCAGAGTGCTCCTGAGTTGGTCTGTGACAGAGAGGACTGTGGGCCCTCACTGATGCTGTTAGCAGTTACCCCTTAGCAACAAACTTTCCTTAAATATGTTTGTCTTTTTGAGATGGAAGTGGTGTGACAACCCCAAACTTCTGCTGCCTATTCTGGGCCTGAAGATTTATGGCAACAGCTCAGCACATAAAGATACTGCTTGTTGATTTATGGCATCAGGGTATCTGCATCTTTTATTTTTGTTTGCATCAAGCCATCCGCACTATTCAAGTTGTGTTCTCATCCAAATAAGGCCTACTCTAAAATCTGTCCTACTTTGGCTGAAATAAGCTCTCCTAATTATAAAAATGCAGATCTTGACAACTTCTAACTGGAGATTTTACAGACTTCACTCACATTGCCCATCTCCTAACTTTGGAAAAGGGGGAACACCACATCTGCTCTGAGCACATGTGTGCCAACATCTGAACCACACACCACCATATGCTCCACTGGTTGTTTCCCAAATCACTGCATTAGCTCTCCATAAAAATCAGGAAATAGCTGAGAGCCATGAAACAATGAAGGGTGTGAGTCAAGCCTTTGTGTGTAAACAATTAGTTCTTATTTAGAAGACTCCTATCAGTACTTACCTGACTTGCTGTTCCCTGTAACTGCCCTCTGTTTGCTCTGATAATTTCAGCTTGTGCAGTTTGTACTTTAGGATCGAGCTTTGTTAAACCCAGAGTGCAGAGATCTGAGTTGCCATGACTATTTAAACAGCCACCATGTCCCACCCTTTTCCTTTTAACTCCATACTTTCTCTGTGAACTTTTGGAAAATGGGATCTGAGGGTTTTATCCCCAAATAGTGAGAACAGAATAATCTCAATCATGGCAGTGCTTCAGGACAAGATGTTTAAAAGTGAAATAGTGGATGAACAAAGAGAGCTTGCTGGAGACCATTTGTCTCTTGAGAGCTGTGTTTGTGTTATCTGATGTTGCTTCCCTGGAGCAGGAACTCTGCCACTGTCACTGAAGGTATCAGCTCATCCTGGGTCCCTGTTCTTGGCCAACCAGTTCTCTTTTCAGCTGTGGGATTTCCTCCTTTCTGCCACAGTGCAACAGCTATTAAACTGGATGTTTTCTGCAGTCCTTGCTGTTTCAGGTATTCTTTTGTTTAGCTTAAACAGAGCTACTCATTTTGGAGGGGAAGATCATCTTACAGACAGCCCCTTAGCAGTGCTGATTTTGGGAAAGCTTTGAGGATACATTTGCTGTGGAAGGTGTCAAGCTCTCTGGTTCCTTTGTGCAGCTTGGAGAGTATATCCCAAACAGTTTACAAATCCTGTCACCAGTAAAGAGACTCCTTTGCAAATTGGAGTTGCTGAGTTTGACCATTGACAATCCCATTGAACTAGTCAAGACTTTTTTCATAGGTGCTTGTGTTCAGATAGAAAGAGAAGGATAGAGCTGCAAAAAGGGCAGCTCAGACTTGCCCACAGGGAGTCAGGGAACAAACTTCCAACAGGTCTTCTCTGGTGTATCTGCCTCAGTCCTCCCCTGCCCCCCAAGCTGGTATTCATGGTGTGGGAGGCTCTGAGCTGGTTTATATGAGATGCCCTCCCATTGCTGAAAGATCTGTGCTGGCACTTGCATCTGTATTTGGGGGAGTAATTGAGATTCTGTGCTCTCTCCCCATGTAATGCAAACAGCTCTCTAATTAAAAGGCAGTTGGTGTGGAGCAGCAACAGGGGAGAAGCGACATTTACCTCTCCAATTGGTTCTCGTGCAGTTAATTTTCTTTCCTTTAATGCTCTGTCCTTGTGCAGATTTGTTTCCAGTCTTACATGAAGCATCAAAGAACAGCAGACAGTGTAAATTGGGCTGTTGGATGAAGGTCGTTGCTATTTTTTTCTATTTTTTTTTTCAGAAGGCTTTAAAGTTTTAGGCTCCCAGTAGTTCCCCCCCCCCCCCGCCCCAGCTTCCTTTGGGCAGTGGAGCAACAAGAAATAACCACCTTTCTCCAGTAAGGCAGACTAATAAGACCACTTCAAAATGTTACCCAAACACAGTCCTTTCTTTGGATGCAAAAACCACCCACTACAGCCTCTGTCAAATGTGTGCTGGATCAGATCCCCTCTTTGCAACCTCATCCCAGCAGCAGGGAAGCAGCTCTGTCAATGGCCTTTAATCCTGCAGGCACAATTTCTGTGTGAAAAGAGGTGGAAAGTAAGAAAAAAGATTGTCACAGAGTAAAAGTGCCAGATCACTTGGACATTGATACCTCCTTAAAAAGTTTCATGGAAACCACTGTTTTAATATGTGTGTTTTTGTATGTATTTGCTCTGCTGTTGAGGGAGGCATTTAGATAAATAGTTCAGGAATTGTTCTTAAATTACTAAAAAGCTACACAAAGAAAACAAATGGAAAGAGTGTTTGTTTCTTGATCACCAGTTCAGTCTGTGCTGAAGGACGAAAAGCATTCTTGTCCCATTGATTCCTGGACTATATGAACTACATTGGTCATAATTTCCCAGATGTCAGATGGTTTTTCAGGTTTTATGATGGGATTTGCTGCACATCTTCAAAAATGAGTTAGTGGAAAGCTAGATCCCACTCTCCATATGTGCTTTTTCTCATCCTAGAAATAGATTTTGATTTGAAGATTTCCCTCTCCTCTTTGCTCCTTTAGCTCTTTCTTTCAGGAGGGCAGGGGGAATTTGCTCGGGTTCTGTGATCTCTGTGATGGAGCTAAGCCATCGATTCATCAGGCATTTGGCACTCAGGGATACTTGAGCAGAGAGCAGTGAAGTAAAGTAGGTTACAGGCAAACATCCCCAACAAACTGGTGTCCATCCCCCACCACAGAGCACTCTGCTTATTTTGTGTTATAAGAGAAAAGAGATTAAAACAGCTGCAAAAAGAACTAGTTTCTGAAAAGGTAAATAAAATTGTTAGCTTGTTAAGCTTATTAACTCTAGCGAGGCTCATTGGGGGATTTCTTGTCAGCTTCAATAGGAAACTGAAAACAGGTTCTGAATAAATTCCGCGGCGCCTTGCACATGAAAGGCTTTGAAAGCACTTCAGTAATCTGGGATATCAGCAGTGACTCCTCTCCCTGCTGACTTGCAGCTGTTGGAGGCAGCGAGTTCTGCTCTTGCTTTGCTTGCTGGGCGCAGCTGGGGGAATTTCACAACTGTCCAGGGCCATATGTGCCATGTGACAGCCCAGAGCTGGGGAAAGAACTTGGAATTTAAATGCCAGTCCTGGTGTCAGGCTCCTAAATAAATACAGATAGAAAGTTTTTCTTGGGGCAGATTGAAGCCTCTGTCCTTTCTGTCAGCTGAGTAGAATTCCTCAGTTTGTTTTCCCTGTGGATTGTCATTTTTCCTCTAACAGCAGCAGCAGCAGCACCGGCAGAACGCAGAAGTGGTTTAGGAATGCATCTTCCAAAGTGCTCTTGAAAGGAGAAAGATTTATGTGTAAGGAGCAGTGGCAGGCTGAGGGAAGAGGACAGGAATATTTATTCAACCACTGTGGGTCTAAAGGGCTTTTGAGAGCTTGCAGGATGTTTTAGACGAAAGATACACCAGATGTAAGGGCTGGATTCTGGATTCATCCCTTTTCCAGACACTGATAGCATTGAACTGTAGAGAAACATCTTCAGCACAGTTGCAGGGCTCAGCCTTTGATGTACCCAAGTCTTGGGAGTCTCTGTAAAATATGGGTTACACTACTGGTGCCTTCTCTAGGACTACATCCTTTCCAGATCCTGGCTGCGTGTGCAGCTCTGAACGGAGCATGGAATTGTTCCGTTTGTTACTGTGAGGTGTTCACTCTCAAGGGAGCAGCTCTAATGGATTTTTTTTCCATTGAAAGCTGCAGGCAATTCTGGATGATGCCAAGTGAATTGTACTGGCGTTTATAGCAGCTTATTTTTTTTTCCCCAGCAGGCAGCAGTGACAAGTTGTGTGTAAATGGAGGGGTATCATTTATCCTCATCTGAAGGGGGTGCAAATCACCAACACAGGCAGCAGCTCACTATAAATACAACAAATTGCCAAAGCTTTGGTGCTGCTGTTAAGGATTTCCCATAGCCCCACAGCAGGGGAGAAAAAGAGATAGTCAAAAAGCAATTTTTGCTGGGTTTTGAAGGCCAGTTCTTTCCTGATGCTAGTGTGATAGTTGTTGCAGAGCACATGTTCTGCTGCTCTTGCAGTCCTGTGGGAGGGCTCTTGCCTCCTTCCTGCAGTGTAACAGGCTCCTGTTAAGATTTTTCTGAACCCTGAAGCAGTGAGGGTGTCAGGAGGCACATCCACAGCAAGGAGGATGGTCCATGTGTGTTGATGGGTAAGGGGTGCACTGGTGTGTAAAAGCTGTGAGGTGCAGAATGCAGTTTCATGAGCCTCCCTGTGCACATTCCCTTCTCTGCTCTGCACAGTGACTGGCCACAGGATCTTCCAGCATCTGACCTTTCTCTCATCTGACTCTGCTTTTGTCTTCCCTCAGTATCTCTTTTCTGGCATGGCACTAACATCCCATCACTGCCACCAGATACACAAACTGCTGGAATCAGTGGCAATCCCAGTGCCTTTTCCTTTCTGGCTGTTGTGATTTTTTTTTCTCCACTTCACACATGGATTTTCATCTCTGCCTGTGAGTAATTTAAATTGCAAATCTCCAGCTGTGCTAATTCTTCTGCTTTCCAGGTAAAGCAGCTCCGTGGAGCACCAGTGCCCTGCAAGACATCATTCTGCTGTCGAGGGACCTGCTGAACCCATAACTGTGAAAGGGGAGGCTTTCATCTCTGCAGCACTACAACCTCACCTCCTCGAGGTGCTGTTTGTACAGCAGACTGTGGATCTTCTGACTAAAACAGCACCATTTGGCTCCCTGGTGTCCCAACTCCTGCGTTGGAATGACCAGAGTTCCTCTTTGCAAACTGGGCTCTCTTGCTTTAGGAGGGCTGCAGTGTCACCAAAGCATTACAAGTTGCAGCTCCTCACGGTCTAAATAAGTTTTGCAGAAGGAGGAAGACAAGGAAGATTAAACTGAGCTGCCCCAAGGACTTATTTTCTAAAATCATAATTCAACACTTCAGTCGCTGTTAAACTTCAGTCATTGTTAAACAGATCATGTGTTTAAAAAAAAAATCTAGAAGTATTTCTGGGCCTTACAGAGGTGACTTAGGACTTAAGATGGTAAAAATGTAAGCCATGCTGAAATGCCACACTATGTTTGGTGTAGGGTTTGGGTGGGAAGGGGTTGGGAGGTCAACTCATGTAGGAAATTTTCTTGACTTGCTACTGATTTTCTTTTTTAAACAACAATTGCACTAAGTTTTCATGATGACACTCTCATTGTCCCAAGGAGCTCTGATCAGATCAACTTCAGTAAGTGAGACCACAGGGAAATAGGAAGAATCAGGCATGCTCTAAACTACAACAATCTTGGATTAAAGAAGATATATTTTTGTAATTTTCTGCCCTTCCACTGGGAGTAAAACCAGTGTTTTGTACTGTCCTGTGCTGACTGTAACTTGTCTACAATTCATTACCTTTTTCTAAGCAAAGTAAGTCCTCATGTGGAATGATTGGATTGCAGAGACAACATGTCTTATTTTTCATGGAAGCTTCATGTAAGTGATCTTATTCTCTGTCAAACTGGAAGTTTTCCCTTACTACCTGCTTGACAAAGCTCATTTAACTCAAGGACGATTTTTAGCTGTTGTTTCCTGCTGTGCTTTGTGCTGCAGAGGTCAGAGCTGTGGGATGACACTGTGGGAATTAGATTGCTGCATCTGGAAAGGTTGGGTTTGGGAGACCACAGGCATCCAGGCATTCCAGGCCAGCGGTGCAAAGGGCAAACCTAACTGGGTTACTTTCTTTACTTTGTGGTTTTCCGTTAGAGTAACCACAGATGAGTTTCAGACTTTGCTGTTTACTGCACTCCTTAACACCTTCTATTTTGGGTTTTTAAGCTGGCTGAAACCTTGCTTTTCTTGGGGAATGCATATTTTCCAATTGTTTTAGGATTGTCCCACTGTTTGCTTGACCCTCTCCCAGCCTTGCAGTTGCAATCCCTCAAGGAGACTGCAGTTTCTGGCAAAGCACCAGCCTTGTAGCAAGCTGCCACTTTTGGGATTTTTATCTGTTTTTTTAAAGCCCTATTGAGATTTGAGGCTTGTTGAGAAACCAAACTGCTTTGTCTTGATACCACGACCTGTGCCAGTTCTGTGTGGTTCCCCTCGGCCCTTCAGTCAGTAAAAGGAGGTGAAGGGGAATTTTTTTCCTTTCCAGCAGCCTTGTGCATTCATCCCAGCAGCTGCCATACCACAGTCACCCTAGCTGTGACTCAGCAAAGGCTTTGCAGACAGCCAACTCAGCCTGGATGGAAAAATCCCAAAGCAGACTGTTGTGTTAATATTAGTCATCAAGGCAATATAAAATGCTCTGTTATTTTCATTCATGGAATAGTTTGAGTCATTCTGTGCCTCTGTTACCAAGCAATATTTGACTTGTCAGCTGTGAGGTGAGGATGGGCTGGGCAGGTTGTTCTGGCTGGCAGGAGCCACAGGGAGCAGAGAGTAGAATGATGCTGTAGGTTCAGGTGAGGTCTGGAGCTCTCAGGTGAGGTCTGGAGCTCTTTCCTCACCTCAGTAAAACAGGTTTCAGGCTCTAGGCTGGATGCCCCAGAAGGAAATACTGGGTTTCTTCAGGGCTGCAAAATTGAAGGCTGGGAATTGAACCTCGTGGGCAGACCAAGCCCTTTTGAAGTCAGAGAAGTGGCAATGCTGAGAGGAGAGAGGGAGGTTAAAAGCTTCTGTTGGCATTTGCCGAAGGAGGGGACAGGATGAGGTGGCTGCCCTGTCTGTGCAGGCACCATGGCAACGTGTTCATGCCCACTCTCCTGCCACACTCATTAAGCTGAGCATCAGGCACTCTCAAGAGTGGAGAGAGGGAATGAAACCATCTCTTTGCACAAAAGAAAGGCAAGACCAAGTTATGTAGGAGAGAGACGAGAAGAAAATATTCATGATGCCTTCTGAGCAAGTCAGTTCTTGAAATCAGTTTTTCCAGCAGCTTCAGGTCACTTGCTGAGTTAGTCTGGCAAAGGCCTTCTGCTCCCCTTGCTTAAAAAAAAAAAAAAACAAAAAAATCCCACTATTTTCACAACATGGCCAAATCTCAATGGTGGACAGGGACCAGGTATTTAAGATGTTGAAGATGGAGGTGCTCAACAGCAGCTGGGATTTCCTGGCTCCTTGAGGAAGTCCCAAACTGTGTGCCATAAGCTAAAAAGTGCTTATAGGGAAGCAGCAGCTGCTTGTTGGAAAATAAAGGTCAACCTGACCAGTTGCTCACAGTCATGAAAATAATCCAAATGCTTTGTCTGATACTCAGTTGCTGTTGCAAATGTGAGGCAATGTTTACCTCTACGAAACTTGCTGTATGTGATTTAAAGTGTCTGGTTAAATGTTCTATAGCTATATTTAGTTAAGATTTTAAGAGCACTTGACGTGGCTCATCTAATAGTATATATATGAATATTTTTTTAATTGTAGAAATCAGTTTAAAACATAGTTTTAATAATTTGAACTGTTTGGTTCAGGTAGTTATAGGAGTTCATCAGAGAAGAAATAGCCATTAACCACTACATGAGTTTTTTTACCTTAATGTTCTGTGTATTTTACACTGCGGATTTAATCTGTGACTGTAACGTGTCTTAGTATCTGCTGCTATTTTGTGTTGCGTAGTCAAACTTGCTTTGTTCAAGAGCATTTTAAAAGGCATATTTTTTTGTTACAGAAAATGAAAACAGAAATGTTATTACAGCTGTCTGTCTGTAGCTCACTTACTGCTTACAGAATCCTCCAGCTCCTGGCTGAGGCAAACAGAGTGTGTGAGTCAGAGGCTTTTCCCTTTGTGCATGTGGAGGGAAAACCCTGCACAGAATTGCAGCTGCTTTGCTCCAGCCACAGCCCTGTCACCAGAGATTACACCTGAGAAGCCAGAAATCAGTGTGCCATGCTTACCTGCAGAACTAAGTACACAGATAGCTTTGTATTTGCATTTTTCCCTCTTTTGTTCCCTGGAAATTGCAGAGATGACTGCGAACACTTGTTTAGCACACTGACTCTGTGATCCCCTAGTGTTTATCTTAAGACCAAACTTAGTTGTAACAGTCTACAGGCACTAATGAAGCTTGAACACATAGACACTAATTAACTCAAACACTTTGTTCATAACTGTTCCCTCTAATTCCATGTACATAGTATAATCTCTGCAGGGTGATGGGCTGTGGTTTTTGTTAAAGATTTTTCCTTGCTAGGTGAGTTTCTGCTGCTGCAGTTTGTGTGTGAGGAGGTATCAGGACCATGTGTTCAGTTTTGTGCAATTGCTTTGAAGTTCTTTTTAAAAAGAATTTGTCATTGTGACCAAAGCTTCTTTTTAAGGAAAAATTGGTTGCGTTTGAATGGACTTCATGTGTTTCAGTAGAAACTGCCATCATTAAACGTGTTCTTGAAATCCCTGTGCTGTGTGTTATGTTTAAGGCAGGAGAGAGAAAGGGCTGATGCTTTTTGGAACGAGGTGGATGTCAGAGCTCCTGTGTGCTCCATTATTAGAGGGTTGCAAGTCCCTTTGTCCTGTGACTCTGAATCAGGGCCTGACAAGGGGGAAAACTGGTTTTAGCAGCATGGTAGAGGAATATGTTTAAACACACGAGGTCCCCATCAACCATCAGGAAGCTGGGCTTACTGCTGGGATCCAAAGGCAGAATCCTCTGCAATAGGGGAGGGATCTCAGTGCCTTTGGCTTTATGAGGTGTTTGGTACCCCAGAGCCCACAAACTGGAGCCACATGAGCAGCCTGGGCCAAGCCCTGTCCCCTCGCTGGGGTGGCCAGGTCACACCACAGCTGCTTTCCTTCCCCTCCAGACTTGCTTGATGAAGTTGCCCATCTCTGAAGCAATTTTGCCTTGCGGCTTTCGGGGCATGGCAGGACGCTGAAGTGCTGGTGATAAGGATCAGGGCAGTCTGAGGCTGCTTGTTCCACACTTTTGGCAGTTCTCAGGGGACTGTTTTCCTCCTGGATATGGAGAGCAGACACTTCTGGGCTCTGGAGCAGCTACAGGACAGACTGGTCCAGCACCCTGTGCATGATTAGCTCTACCTCTCTCCTCTGCCATGATTTCTCTGCCTTGATGTCTTCATCTCTTCAGGACCAGTCTAAGAGTAATTCAGTGCTGCAGACAAGAGGCAGCTGCTGTCCCACCTCTGCTTTTTGAATTATGTCCTGCCAGCAAAGTGAAGCTCAATCTAATTCAAAATACCCAAAAAAACGCTGTCAGCCTTGAGCCAGCTGAGCAGCTAAGCTGGTCTGTGTAGGAAGCTCTAAGACCCCTCAAGGTGAGCCCTAGCCTAACGCTGGCTAAGCAGGACAGGCTGCTCTTAGCACAGGCTGCAGCAGTGAGGATGTGACAGAACAAAAGGCAGAGGCTGCAGTCGCTGGTGTACTTGCCTTTCTGAAGGGGTCTCAAGTGGAAGACGAGCAAATGACCTGTGGAAATTATTACCTAAGTAAGAGCTGAAGAGCTGAGTTTGATGAAGGTGATTGCAGCTGAGGCTGTGTGAGGAAGGGCAAGGCTCAGCTTAGCCCTTCCTGAATTTTGACATGGGAAAGCCCAAAGCTGCAACAAAGATTTTCTCAGGCAAGTCTTAATATATTTTTTTCCTAAATGAATCCCATTAAGGGGATGTTTCTGCAGTATCTGGAAGAGTTCTGCATGGGCCAGAGTACAACACAGCTTCCCCTCTGCCGTGGGTGGCTGCTACCACCCTCGTACAAGCTGCTGCTCTTCTTGGTGAGTCTGTGCAGGAGTGAGGTTAAGTGAACAGAGCTAATTCACATTTATAACCCTGGAAAAAGCGAGGGGGGTGTCTTCCTTGTGTCTCAGTGCCAGTGATCTTTGGATGCCGTGATACTGATAACTGCAAAATTGTCAGTGATGTGTGGTAGATGCTATCAGAGACAGGAGCTGAGCACTGAGATGATTGGAATCATGCCTGACAACGAGCTCTATTAAGAGTGTGAAACAAGAGCAGCTCTAATTGCTTAAGACTGAGTAGTCTGTAACTAGGCTGCACAGAAACACTGAGGATAGTTAATCTCCCTATCAGCTGGCAATTGCCAATTTTGAAGAGGCCAGAAACTCTTCTAGCTCTGGTTTCAGACAGACACCCACTCCAGGCTGGCTCACTTCTTCCATGGCCTTTTGCTCACAGCATGTTAGATGAGCCAAATATATTTCAAAACAGTACTTCTAATTCATGGAAAACAACTCTTCAGCAGAAGAAAGCAGCATGGAAGGCGTGGCCATTGCTTTTAAAGCTAAGAAGCAAAGGGTGTTAAAAATCCAGATGTCGTTTTTGATGGTTTAGGAGGCATAAAGCTGGTTTCTAGGCTTCTCTCTCCCCTCATGCTGGTGTCTCCAGCCACCTTGTTCCCTCACTTGTCTCCACGCTGGGGGACCAGCAGCACAGGGGAGCCCAGCTCCCTCCAGCTCCATGGGGAGGACCCACTTAGGCTGCATATGGACAAGGAAGGAGAAGGCAGGTCCTGAGGAGCTTGAGGAGCTGCTTCAGAGCTTCAACCAGCATCTTTAATCTCTATCTTGGAAGATGCTACAATCCTAATTGCCAGCCTTCAAAGGCTGCCAAGAACACACTCCTGGTTGTTGTCTGCCCAATCCATCCTGCCCAGTGGTGGAGGGAACCCACTGATCTGAGTGTGAAGGAAGGACAAGGACTCAGATTCCCTGGCCAGGGTTTCAGCTCTGTCGTGTGCAGATGGGGAGCCGTTGTTTGAAGGATGAGGAGGGATAAGGATTAGATGACCTAGTGTACCTCCTCAGCCAGGACAATTCATTTGAAGGCTTTTCTGTGAAGGGTAACACATCATCTGCTTAAAGCTCATTCTAACTCCTCTGAGCTTCTTGCAGTGGCTCTTTGGAGATAATTTAATTCAATGTACGTGTCATTATTCTGTCCTGTCAACAATCTAGCACTAGATACCTGTCCAGGACCTTTACCAATTTCAAAAGCCAAATAAGCCAGTTTAATCATCTTCTCTGACCTGTGTTGAACAGCACAGAACATCCCTATGGGCTCCTCTGCCAAGTCTAAATGCCAGTGAAATAACTGTGGCAAAATTCCCTCTTACATCCAGATTGGAAAGAGACTTTCTTTGGGCTATGGGATCACAGAAGCCAACCTCCCCTCCAGACTTGCTGGCCCTGCTCACAGTGAATCCTCAGCTGTGGATTTCTTGCCAGGGAACAAGTCTGTTAAAGGGACCTGTGTTGATCTAGCTGGTCCTGCTCAGCTCTGATGCCAGCCCAGAATAACCACTGCACTGCTGCTGAGCAAAAATAAACTCTTTGTCATCAATTCCTTGAAGCATCACTTCCAAATCCTTTGCCTCCCCCAGCTGTTTCCCCTCCACGGATTTCCAGACTGTCTGTGCCTTGATACAAACATATTTATCTGAAGAGAAGCTCTTCTTTACAGACACATTTCTCTCCCTCTGCCCTCAATTCATAAAGGTTTAAGCTCAGGTCAAGAACATTTGACGTTTCCCCACTTCATTTTTGCCTGGCTGTCAGCAGAGTTGTCTCAGTGCTGCCTTTTGGACAGTGTCTGAAATTACCTGGTTCTCTCCATCTCCTTGCATAAGGACACAGATCCCAGTGGCACTGAGATGATTCTCAGGTAAACAGAAAAAAAGTCTGTTTTTTTCATTGCTAGTCTGTTTAGGCAATGTCTCCTGTTTCTTTTTCTGTGTATAACCTTTCTTGGGTCAGACCAGTTCCTCTTGCTGATGGTGCAGCAATGCTTTCAGAGCTCAGCAGTGAATGCAGTGGTCCCTGCCCTTTTCCCCCTCCTGCCCCTTTTGCCGTCCAGCCTCCTATGGTATTTCTGTCACCAAATTCCCAATTTCCTGACTCCCACCTCCAACCGCTCTGTGTTACAGATTAACAACACCCTTGTGGATAAAGCTGTGGCAAAGGAGAAATAAATCTCTTTATTTTGGACTAACGAGGCAAAACATTGCAGCAGAAACCTCCTGATGAGGATGGGTCTTGTAGAAGGGCAGGGGTTACCCAGAGCAATGCTGGGATCCTCAGGAGCTGCCCTTTCCCATGGGCAAACACAGGGAACTGGATGATCTTCAAGGTCCCCTTCAATCCAAACCACTCTGTGATTCTGTGCTCCAAGGCTCCAACCTGAGCTCCTCTAGTTAAGAGGCAGGAATATTTAGGTGCTCTTAGCACTCCTGAAGCTTGCTAGGCTTAAATAAAAGAATGGTCCTGCTCAGGGTGAAGAGCTTCTATTTAATGAGCTGTTCAAATGGAGGACATACTCTGTCCCTCTGCTCGTACATAATATTTTTAAAATCACATATTTGCAGTGCATTGTTCATTGCTGTTCAAGGAAACAAATGATTTGCTTTTAACATAATCATTATCAGAAATAAGTTATTCAGCGTTTACTGCTTAGAAGTTAAAAAGGGAATCTGAATTTCTTTTTAGTTTCTTCCTCTTTTTTTTTACAATAGATATACAAGCTGCAGGGCACACTTTTATGCTCCTGTAGCCAAGATTTTATAGAATTGACTAATAATCTATTTTGCATATTTATAAACACTTTATTATTTATTAATGGTGCATTTCAGGAGTAAATTTATAATCCTGCCATGTGATCTCAGCCTTTTAGAGAAAAATGGTTGCTCGTGTCAAAGAGCTGGAAATTAGAGCTGGCATAACAAAGAAATGAGTGAGAATATCTCATTAGTGTGAGAGCAAGCAGGCAGGAGCCTGTTTGGAGGATGAATACACGCACATGAGGTGCACGCACGGTGTCAAATGCAGAACACAGCACTCAAGATGTATCAGTTCCTGCTCTGTTTGCTCTAAACCCACAAGAACACAGCACAACCCTTCAGCCTTGTAAAAGCACAGGCTCAATACACACAGTGCTCACTCTCCAAGCTGACATTTCTGCCCTTGGTCACACCACATCCAGGCATTTTAAGCGTCAGGATTTTGAAGAGTCCAGATGTCCACCTTGGTGGGTTCAAGCCTGAAGATCAGGTACAGGTGACCAACCACCTCACTGCTGCTGGAAGTCACAGATCCCTCACCCATTTCCAGTCTCAAATCTGGATGTCTCAGGCATCCCCTCTCCACCCTGAGCATTATCAAACCACTCGGAGAGGGGTGCCAGGAGCAAACAAGCAGATGTACAAATGTAGTTTCTGATACCAGCATTACTTCACTCTAAACCAAAACACCTCTGTGTACTCAGAACAAATCCTCTGAGCTACTTTTTCTACCTTACCTGTCTTGAGGAAGCCCCTGGAGATCTCTCTGGTCAGGTGTGGAGCTCTGCTGGTCTCCACAAGCTTGTAGCTAACAAAACACTTCCCAGCCACCTTGTACCACTTGCAGTGATTGCTCCACGTGTGCC